ACGTCAGGCTCCAGATCCAGTGGATGTGGGCCGCGAGCGAGCAGACGACGGGGACGAGGTAGACGAGGGCCAGAGCGGGGCGGTTCGACTCGAGGTCGAGGGTGCGACGGTGGCTCCCGTTCGAAGAGAGAGCAGAGCGGCGGCGGCGGCTGGGGAAGAGGCGGGGCTGGAGGCTGTGAATGGCCGTCTTGGCGGCGCGGCGGAAGAGGGAGACCCAGATGGGGAAGAGCAGCCAGAGGCCGATGGTGGCGGGGGTGTTGTAGATGAGCATGAGGATGGAGGGCAGGACGAAGCCGAGAGCGACGGCGTCGGGGATGGCGACTGCGTCGGCGTCGGTCTCGAGGTGGCGGCGGCGGATTTTGCGCTTGAGGGCCTCCTCGGCGGTGAGAGACTCGGCCTCAGGCTCTACCTCTTCTTCGGCGGCGAGTGCGGCAGACTCTTCGTCGTTGGAGGAGCTCGAGCTCGAGGCCGAGGATACGTGACGCAGGCGACGGCGGTTGGTGGGATTGAAGCGGACCTCACGGCCCATCTGCAGCATGAAGCTGCCGACGATGAGGAGCTGCCAGATGATGGAGCCGCCGAGGAGGTTCATGACGAGCCAGAGCAGCATGAGACGGCGCAGCAGCCAGTTCGGGCGGCTGCCGTTGCGGGATGATTCGACAATGGTTATGGTCAGCAGTGCGGCGAGGAAGCTGAGGCTCACAGCCATGACTGCCCATGACCGGACGGAGGCGAGAGCCAGCTGGAAGAAGGAGAGGGCGAAGCATAGGGTGGCACCGAGACCGGGGATCCACGAGACAGACGGGAGGCGTGATCGCGCGTGGCATTGCGAGAATAGGAGAGCCGTGTTGACATCGGCATGAACCACGATTACGGCAAGCGTCAGCACGGCGAGGAGGGGAAGCGGGATCAAGAGGGGCCTCAGGGCGAAGGTGCGGATGGGCGGGCGGCGGAGGTAGCGCGGGAGCTCCATCGCTGCTGTGGTCGAGGAAATGATCTGTAGTAGAGGAGATTGGGTCACGGCGTATCCCAGGATGAAGCTGATGAAAATGCGCTATTGAGGGTTGATCGATGGTGAGGTGAGGGTAAGCTGCATCGAGAGGTAGAGACAGTTAGCCAAGATGACGTTGATGTCCCGGTCACAGGCGTCTGAGGTGAGGCAGGCGCGCGTCAGGTCCAGAGCGTGGGCAGATAGATGCACGTGCCAGACAGTGCCAGTCATGTGCAGTGCCTAGCAGTGGCCTCCTCTCCCCGCCCCACACATGGATGCCTGCTGCGATGCCCTGCCATCCTCACCATCACCACCACCACCAGCTACAGCCACGGCTGCCACACCCAACGGAAGAGGCTGAGACATCAGTCACACGCCTGGTATGCGGCTGATCTCGAGGGTGCGGGGGAGGAATGCCGTTGTGCTTATTGGTGTCTGTCGTTCTACCATCAGAGCATTCGGCAGTCTGCAAGGCACGTTCGTTGCCTCCGAGTCGGATTCTTCAGGCTTGACATCAAGAGTCTGATTTGACATCAAGAGTCTGATTAGACATTAAAGGTCCGGCTGGACATTAAAGGTCCGACTGGGCATCAAATGTTTGACTGGGCATCCAACATCAGACGTCAAGCTAGATCTTCCACCATACAAACACGATAAAACGAACATCGTCCCTTGGCAGGCTTGACCTCTGGCAAGTGTTGGCCTGCAACCTACGCCTTCGGTCTGGCCAGACCGCCGCCTAGAGACGCCCGACTGACCAACGACAACGGCTTGCAGCAATGGCTCTCATTTTCCCTCGCCTTATTCCTTTCCAAACCTGGGTCTCCAGGTACCTTATTCATCGTCTCACCTCACGACGCAGTAGATCATGCCATCATGGTCTCCGTTGACATCTGCTCACTTGAAGCAGCGTCTTGTGTCCTCACTCCATTGGCGCTCGCTCTGACGTTCTTGAGGAAAATGGCGACCCTGATGCCCATCGCCTCACAATGTTTGATTGCGTTACAATCCTGGTGCCCCATGCAATTGTGCCCGCTGATACGCCACGTGGAGGAGCTTCGTTCCGTTCCTTGTTCTGCTGGCTTCGCCTCCCCCTTGCCAGTGCCTGCATGAGCATTATCTCACTATCAGCAGATTCCGCGATACCGCCTATGCCTGCTGCCACACGTCCAGCCATTGAGCCATCCGAGCCCCAAAGCCTCGCTATATGTGCCTGGGCCACGCCGCCCTGTTTTGTTGGCCGCCCTCACGGTGTTGGATCAGCGGGATCGGCTTGTTGTCATGAGCCCAATCTCAAACTTCCCGTCTCGCCATCATTTTCTGATAGCATTGCCGTTGCAGC